AACATCTAAAGTGTTCACTTATAATCGAACTGTTAATATATTTTCTATTCATACCTAATTTAACAAGCTCTTAACAACTCCATTGATTCGATTCTACATGACAATTCCTTTGGCAATAAAATCACACTCTTTCTTTAAAAAAATTTCCCTAACTTTGTTTTTGGATGGGAGTTGCTACCAGATGGGAGTGGGGTGGGGGTTTCTTATATGGAGTTTGCTACAAAAACAGGGGTCAGGGGGCCTAACAGGCCCCTGACCGAACCCCACCAATAGGTGGGGCTGGTCCCTTTTTTTGCGTGGAGCCCACCCCCATGGGTGGGGTTCAGTCAGGGGCTGACAGACCCTCTGTTCTTCTAGCAAAATTCTTCATAAATAAGAAATTGTTGAAAAGGAACATCTAATCATACATATGGACCTACGATCACTTTCCCAAACCTTCTGACATTTCAACTTCAACACATAACTTTTCTTGATTCTTTACCCAGTTTTTGATTCCTTGCAGCAGAACCTCACGTCATTCAAGACACCATCACTTTCAAATTTCTCATTTTTGCCCCTCCATCCTATACATTTGAGTTTTATAATTATGCAAATACAATTTATAGAAAATTTCAAGAAATTTACTATCTTTAAACAAGAATGAATTTGTATCTTTATTGAGCTAACTCGTGTAAGCATTTTGACAATACAAAATATTCTCAGTGCTGTTAAAGAATTTCCTCGTCAACCGAACAAAAGTAAATTTTCACTGTTTCTCCTTCAATGGTATTTTGATGCATTAAAAGCAAATATAACTCAATTCTTTTTATGGGTAATGTCACATTTTGTTCGTTGTTCATTGTTTTGGCATTATTTACATTTAATTGATATTTTAATAGTTTTATAAAATAGAATTTGAATGTAAAAAACTCGAAGTACGAATCCTTCTCTTAGTTGTTGTGAATAAAGCAGCAAAATGCTTGGTCTTGCCCGAAGCGTAACATATGATTGAATGCAAAAAGGTTTTACTTAACTCTAATAGGTTTTTAACATAGTCCCCCAGTGAACTAGTACTTTAGTTTATGAACACCTTCAAAGGAAATGTTCGAATCGAATTCTAAACTTTATTCTTAGCCTCAACGAGTTCATCAGGTACAGGCTTAGGAAGCCAGCAACACCTGCTTTAAAATAAAAATGTTGAAGATACATGTATCATGAAAAAAAATGTGGATTCAATAGTATAATTATCCAAAATTGATTTTTATTAAACTCGTGAATACAATGTGTTATATATATATGTCAAGTTTTTGGAGAGATGGGAAGTGGACTGTGATAGGGAGCTTGATTTGAACGACATGGGGTGCGAGGTGGTGCAAAGAGTAAACAAAGAGATGGAATCCCAAAGTTGGACTACGAAATTTCTAGATATAACTTTAAGTGTGGTAGGACAATTAGCAGGTAAGGACATTTTGTGCCAATTACCCTTCCTTTTTTTACTTGATGAGATCAAATGTTTCGATTGATTTAAAAAGAAAAACCAAAAAATGGTATTCTTATAAAGGGTATTATCGTCTACACATAAAGACGTACTTAAAATACTGTAGCATACCACCCTAGCCTTGTCGCCATTTGCTTGATGCGATTTGTTTATTTGAAAACCAGATTAAAAAAAACCTCGTCATCTGCGTCTATAATATTCTCCCTCTATCCTCTGCTACCCCAGTCTCCAAATGACATCCCAACTCGCCACGTGTCCCCACAACCCATCCCCTCCAATGACATTTTGAGATTCGTTCTGCCTTGGCCCGACCCGGCCCCAACCTCCTCAAATCTTGTACTGCAACTTCGCTTTCCGCTCTTCCCATTAATTATTTCTTGCTATGGTGTTAGCACACGTTGAGTATTTAAGGGATATTTGTTTCAAAAATATCTATTGATACTGCTTCATTAGAATGGCTTCTCTTACACCAGGGATACTGCTTAAGCTTCTTCAGAATGTAGATAACAAGGAATTTAAAGTTGCTGGGGAACACCGTTCTGCTCTTCTTCAGGTATGTAAATGATTTTTTTCAAGATTTTGTTTTGTATGAAAATGAAAAGAAGACTATAAATCATGCATTTTGATTGTATTTCTTCGCTTTCCTTTTCTGGGCTACTGAGATTGTGGGTATTATTTTTAGCTACGTTGTGATTTTTATTTTTATTTTTAATTATATTTTTCTGTTGAGAGTTACTGGCATTTTCAAGTGTTGTTCTCTCTCTCAAAATTTTTTTTTTCGGGGATGAAAAGAAAAAGAAATCTATATTATTCATAGATTTTCATTGTTTTTGCCCCTTTTCTGGGCAAACGAGATTGTGTGTTTTGTTTTATTAACGTTGTGAATGTTGTTTCCCCTCCCTTTTCCTATTTGTATTATAGTCAATAGCATTTGTCTTGTATTTTCATTTTTTTGCTTCTTTCTGGGCTAATGAGGTTTTGTTTTTTTCTTTTATCAACGCTGTAGATATTTTTCTTTCTCAAATGTTAATGGCATTTTCAAGCATTTATTTCATATGAACAAATGGAAATCGGTATTAATCATACGCTTTCATTGTTTGTTGCCTTCCGGGGGTGATGAGAATTTGGTTATCATTTTATGAACAATGTAAATTTTCTTCTTTTCTGATTCTGTTGAGTGTTAATTGCATTTCTTGCAAATTCAGTAAATTTTCTCATGCGGGGCGTTTGTATTTTAGGTTATTAGTATTGTGCCTTCACTAGAAGATGATCCATGGGAGACCAGGGGATATTATTTGAGAGTTTCAGATTCAGTGCATTCAGCATATGTGTCTGTATCAGATGAAGATGTGGAGTTAATACTGGGTGACAAGATCCAACTCGGACAGTTCATTCATGTCACTAGACTCAATACTGGCTCCCCTGTTCCGGTGCTTTGTGGTGTTAAACCAGTCCCCAAGAGGCGGCCATGCATTGGAGATCCTAAGGACTTGATTGCCAGTGATTTTCTGAATGCTAAGAAAGTTGAAGCCAAGGTGAAAACATCAAAGGGAAAGGTAAAGAAAGCTGCAGAGGGTAAAAATAGAAGGCTTTCTTTAGGAAATGCGAAGGTTGGGTGTGGGGAAGGTCGAAGATTGAGCTTGGATTCGACTAGAAAAGTATGGGATAACAGTCCTGTTCGTAAAAATGATGCTAAAGGCACATCGAAGTCTAAATCAAACAATTCACATTCGTTTTCAGATTCTGTAAGCATCTCCCTTTATGTATAAGTAGGCAATATAGGTTCTTGCTCACTGGATTAATTGAATTACGTTTTCTGTTTTTGCCAATTTCTGTTCTGTTTAAAAAGTGAACTTTTATATATCTATGGTTCTTTTGATAATTTTACTGTACCAAAAGTTTAAGCCTGTAACAGACAATTATGGAATAAGGAAGGGACAACAACAAAGTTCAATAAGGGTGAAATTTCCTGCTTTTCCTTGTACATTTTCTGTTTTTGAGGGACACATTGATTTTTATATATCCTCCTTAATAGAAGTGGAAAAATACAATGGGAAAATAGCAATAGATATTATTGACTCTACTCTACTGTCTTGTGATGTTCATGTCGTAATGGCAAATTTAAGTGATTCTAAACCATATAATAGGATTGTGGTCCAACAAGTATTGGATTATAGAGAAGTAGCTAATGCAGTTATTATACCATCCTAGAGTTTCAGTAATTTATCCCTGAGCCCACCTTCTTCATTAATATTTTGATTTCTGCAATGAATATAACTGATCAGGAAAGAAAAATATGATTTGGATGATTTCTGATCCTCTTCTGTCCCAAAGAAAGTGGTCTGTTCAAATTATACGGTATTAACTCTTGTGCAAAATCACAAGCATAATCTCAATTTTACAATATTTCAGCTTTCAAAAATTACTTGTTTTTCTATGAACATTTTTAGGTTTATTTCTTAATCTTTCTGATAATAATGTCTTCTAAATTTCAGCAACTTGTTATTAGTGGACCGTTAAAAAACTTTATACCACTCTCTCACTCTCCCCCATCTTTGTGTCCCTGTATTGAATATATTTTCTCAAATATACTAAGGTTTTTCACTAATATTTGCATTCAATTTCCAGTTCCAAATAAATATTGATTTGCAATAGAACTTGTACTTCTTTGAGTGTTTACTCTGATATGTTCTTGAATAGATAGTGATTCTTGATTGTATCTTTTTAATTCTCACACAAGTAGGCTTTTTGTTTGTTTGAACATTTCTTGCACATGATGACATTACGTCGATATTTTCTCCAACTTAATGTATTTTGCCTTTGCAGATGGTTACTAAGAAGGCTTCTCCAGAGATGGTTAATAAGAAGGCTTCTCCTGAGAAGGAATTGATGCTGAAGCATCCGAGTGTTTTCCCACTTAAAAACAAGAACGTGATTGTTTCTCCAAAGCATTTAAGCAAGCCTATAACAAAAAATCTGAAGTCATCAGATGGCGATACTCTTCCTAGTAATATCAACTGTCAAATATTGTCAGATTCAAAGAACTTGTGGAGTTCACTTTCTCCTACCATCCAACACATTGGAGAGGTACACATTCAGATGTACAAAACTTGTAAGCTTTATATTCTGACTGTTCTATAAAATCATGTTTATATGAGTCATGCTGCTTTTCAGGAAGTCCAAAATTATAGGAATGTCGCGTTTGTATCTGCAGCTCGTGCACTAGAAGAAGCATCTGCATCAGAAGGGATCATTCGCTGCATGAGGTAATTTGTTTCTATTTTCACATATGATACCATGGCTGTTAATCTCAGAATTTATGGCAATATGCTCTGCTGATGTACGTGATTTGTCTTGTCAGCATAAATAGAATGTTTCACTGATCCCTAATTTACTGATTCTACTCTGCCATTTTTTGCATTCAACTAAATGCCAAGTAGCAAATCCAGCTGCGTCTGATTTTTAGTAGATCACACATTCATTTCATACTCCAGTTTCTATTTTTTTAACACATTGCTCCCCTTTCTTAATTGGCAGGTTATAGTTGTGATGCATTAAAAATTATCTTTTTCTTTGCATGTGTGATTAAGAATGTTCATGTGACATGTTCATCTATGAGTTTGTATGCATGTCTGTGTTGTCCGTTGCTGGAAGGCATTTTCTTATAGGTCTTAAATCAATGCACCAACTATGAACTTTTAAGTCTTCTGCAATTTGAACAATCGCCTTTGTCAATCTTAAGCGAATGGTAATGTCAGAATGTAAAGTTGATGAGTGGGACCTTTTAAGTTTCAATAAGTCACCTTTCGACACATTTTGATTGTTACAAGACTGCTATTTATTAGTTTAGACATATAATTTAATAAATAAAAGATGCCTACTCTTCTTGTAGAGTGTAATATATTTGGCTGATGTTCATGAATTGTTTATATTTTGTCAATTCACTTTTTCATCCACATTTAGTGGGACCTACAAGTACTATTCATCTATCCACCACTCATTTCTATCTTTTTAAAATTTAAACCGTTTATAAACACTTCCCAAACATTAGTGTAGTTGATTTAAGCTGTTTATAATCATTTCTAGTGGAAGTTATTTAGTTTTGAATTCATAAAGATGCAATTAAGTGCAGCACAAAATTAAAGCTATGGATTATGAAAGCTTATTTTCTCTTCGGATCTTTGATTCTGCGTTGTGATTCCTCTCAACCAGTAGTTTATATATTCTCATTTTAGTCCATAACAGAGGGATATTAACATTCTCTACTCTTGGACAATGAGAGTGAATCATTTGACATATAATATAATGTTCTTGCAGTTATATTTACTCACAATTCCAGGTGGCATTATTTTGTCTTGTCTGCACGAATCTTTAATTGTCCCGAGGGGGACGTCTTAACCTGTTCAAGGTTGTTAGCTAAGATCTCTGCCCTTTTTCTGTAGCATGTTTGCAGAACTATGTGACTTGTCGCAGAGAGATTCTGCAGGACCACTTGTAGAGCAGTTTTTGAGCCTTGACGAGAGAATGAAGAAAGCAGCTGTAGTTATTAATGCTCTGGTAAGCGGTAGGGCTTCTGATGCGAAAGAAAGCAATTACAGTGGCTTGCAATGTTCACCACCGAAGATTAGCCACAATTCTGCAAATAAGAATGCCTCGTTGTGGGTGCAAGCTGCTGTTGGAACTGGTCTTTCCAAATTCTCTTTATTTACGAAGGAAGGAGAAAAGTGCACTACAAATGGTGACAAACATCACTATGTCAGAATAGAAAACATTGCAATGAAAAATGAAGAGAATCATTCACCTAAAATCAAGAAAACCCCATTAAACCATGGGTCAAGGAGAGCAGATTCAGAGGTGAAAGGTTTGCAATCTCGTTCAAGGCGCTCTTCTTCCAGCACAAAAGGAACGAGTGTTGGAATGGAAGCTTGGTCACAGGACTCAGGATTAAAAGATGTTGCTCTTCTAGCAGACAAGTTGCTCTCATCATCTCGTATCTGGTTTTTGAATTATTTGGAAGGTTCTTTAAACAACGGATTTGGACTGAGAACCAAGGGAGATAGTTCTGATATTGCAGGCCTTCTTGGGCAGCTTAGAAGGGTTAATCAATGGTTGGATGATGCATTTAAAGAAGGATGTGGTGATGATGAAAGGATGGAAAGGTTGAAGAAGAAGTTATACACATTTCTACTTGATCATGTCAACTCTGCACTTATTGCAGGCAGGTAGAGCCTGACCAGATAAGCTAGGACTACAGAATCGATATCTTTATCACAATACAATTCTGAGTTAAAGTTATTTGAGTTTTGTCAACTTCATTGTATCTCGGAGAGAGAGGATAGGCATGTTCGTGCTTCCTTTTTAGTTAAATGTATAGGAAGGTTTATTTATGCTTTCCCAAATGAGAACATAATTAAGTTAATGTAGTTGTGAATTTCTGAATATTTTATCTCACCCTTACTCGTTTTAGTTTTTAGCTGTGGTTATTAGGCCCATGTTTGGTCCCCAGCTGCAACTCCGGAAAGAAGAGAAGAAGGATTTGATTGTTTCATGTATGTTCCACTTGGCTCGAGGGGATATAGATCAGTTGGTAGAGCTCCACTCTTGCCATCTTAATTTGTAACCAAAGAAATAAAGCGGAAATGACTCTTATCTTGGGACCTGGAAGAAAGGTTTCTAGGAAACTCAAAAAATTCATTTTTCTCAAACTCATTTTCAACCACATTTCATGATATCCATAACTTTTATCAAATTTTTAACTACACATCTCTTTGATGTTATCAATATGTATTAAAAAAATGATTTTTATCTAATCCAAACACGGGATAGTATTACTTTACATTTACTGTCTTTTTTGGGGGTGCTAGTGCTAAATAACAGAAACTGATGAATTAACTATCGCTGATTAAATTCACTCTGCATCCTTTACATTAAAAGGAACAGTTTGCAGAAGTTCATGAAGAGTAAGAAAACATTCTTAAATTTTATTAAAATAAATCCTATGAAATGAAAAACTGTAAGAATTAAGTAGTTATTTAGTATCCAGAAATTGAATCCTCATTTTGGGATTCCTTCGATGACAGTCTTTGAGATGTCGTCTGAACTATAGATGCAGAAAGTGCAGGATTAAAAGTTCCATTGGCTAAGGCTTTCATTCCCTTGCAGGATTTCATATGTGAATGTAGTTTCTCAGGCTTGAATGACTTCCCACATTGCCTGCGTTCAATTCGAACAAAAATATCATTTGATTCGTCTGTTTAAGATGATTGTACACGGTATAACGGTTATTATTTTGTAAAATAGAAATGAAAAAAAGATAAAGATGTGTTACCAATCAACTTACGAGCAATCCGGGCCTCTGATTTGCTTGTAAGCAGTTGAGGTTGTCCTTTGCTTTCTTGAATCCTTCACCCCATCGCAGCTCTTTCTGGAACAGAACCAAAAACGAAAATATTCAAATTCACACCCACATTCTCTCGTCAGAATAATTTTATATGTAAACTCAAAAATTTTCCATATTTTTTAATCTCACATTCTCCCAAAATTACCATTTCAAAACCTATTTTTCCAAAAAAAAAAAAAAAAAAAAAAAAA